TAAATATGCTCAGCCAGGTACCCAGCATTAATAAGGAAAACTTAGAAAACAGTTACCTGAAGCAGCACTAAGTGGGGAGATGCCATCAAGATAAAGGGACATTTTTTGTTAAAGTTTGACTTCTTTACCACACAAACGCAGGTGGGCACAGAAAGTACTCGGAATTGAGCTCCTGGGCTCTCACACCCAAATTATAGACCTCCACATGAAACTGGAGAGACAAATTATAGAGCTTACATAAAATTAGATCCATAGCCGGGTGATGTTCCTCAAACATAGATTTTAGGCAGCAAAACAAAGTGGTTTCAAGGGGGGAAGATTCACCCTCTTTTCCAAAAAAAAAAAAAAAAAAAAAAAAAAGAGGTCAGATCTGCGAATTCCTGTAACAGACTAGCTGAGCAGGAGCTGAAGCTGTGGAAAAACAAACCACTCTCTACAGGACTTGATACTTTTCACAGCAATTTAATACGACGAGCTCGTGAGAGGCTGCCCGCCTGCTGCCAGGCCTGGAAGAGATCCGTGCTCCTCTAGAGCGGCAGGTTCCCTGGCTCACATGGTCATCGCATACAGAAAACTTCTAGGAGCTCTACCGCCAAACAAGGCTCTTGCCAAACCTCTGCCTATCTGCCAGCACGAGAGAGATCCAAGGTGTTTTTTTCCAGAGCAAGCAGAAAAGATTAAAATCAACAGAGTTCACCAACTGAAACGAGTTCTGCTGCTTCTCAAATGGCCTCTGGCCAAAACATCACAGTGCCTCAATTCTTCAGTTGGGCAAACACCAAGGTTTAGGAGCCTTACTCAAAACACAGGCTGAAGTTAATGGGCCATCAGTGTAAACCGGAATTACATAGGGGTCCAATCCAAAACCTAATCTGCAATCAAAAGCATTTTCAGTCACCCATTGCTTTGGGCATCCAGAGCAGAAGGAACCCATCAAGATGCCCCTTGTTCAAGGTGAGCCTTGTGGCAGTCAGCTATCTCACAGAAATGGAGACAACTGCTGTAGTTCCCTTCTCTTTGCTGCTGTTCCCAGTTCAAGGAACTGCAACACTGAGCTCCTCTGGAGCAGAGGGGAACCCACCACCAACAACAACTGCACCCGAATTGAGGGATCCTGGCATGCACCAGTGGGCAGCACCAGTGGGCAGCACCAGCCTCTTTCACACACCATGACACCATGTGAGGTGGCAGCCCATCATGGAAGATCTCTTTCATAGGGGAACCATATCTCAAAGCTGGGCAGATTTAGGAACTCCTCTGCAGATAAACTCACTCTCATTAAGCACTGTTTTCCTCTTACTCAGGAGGCATTTTTCCCTCCAATGGTGGGAGGACGGTGGCCAGCAAAACAAGATATTTCGCACTCAAAACCACTCTGCGCCAAACATTAATCTGGGTGAAACCATCAGGATCTAACACGTACTCCCTGGAGCTAGGGAAACCTTCAGGAACATGGTGGGTAACGCCAACTCAGAACCAAGAAAGGGTTAAACCCCCAAAATTCAGAAATATCATACTGTGTGCTGCATTAGTCTGCCTTCTCAAGAAGGTGGAAGGGCCTATTCCAAACCTGTGAGCGTTCCCTCCTGAATTATTTGCTCAGCTCTGATTAAATGGGAAAGAATGACTGTAAACTAATAAAACTTGAGGTTTTCTAATTAAACCACAGGCATCGTGCCAAGCATCGCCGATTCGTGGATGCACCCTGCCACGCCAGGGCTCCGAGGACACAACAGGTCATTAAAGTATTAAAGAGATGACTTATACTCTTTAATCAGAGCTGGGGTGCCGGGTGAGGGAGCGCGAGGGCAGGGTGCAGTGATTATCACTAGGAAACAAACACACTGTTTAGGGAAACGTGAGCAAAACTGGTCCCAGTTATTGCCCCAGGAAAGGCGTGCACCGAGCCCCACACCTGCGCCTTTCATGACAGACCTCTGTGCTTTGCTACAGGAAAAGAAAAAAGAAAAATACAATGCCACACTTGTGATTTGTGATAGCCCTTTGCTATCGGACGCGCTCGGGCACGAAGCCGCTCGCTCTGCCCCGAGTTGCAGCAGCACCTCACGCTTTCTCAGCTCTTCACACGTGCTCCCTGCCACACCGAGCTCTGTCAAACTGCAGCTCGGGGAGGGTCAGGCTCATGCTTCATGTTTACAGCAGCCAAAAAAAAATCATAGGCGAAAGCTGCAGCCAAAGGACAGACATATTCTTGGACCTTACAGAATCTTCAAGGTTTTCACCTCCTTTAAAGTCAACGTTTGCCTCTGGCTCGAGCCTCCTTTCCAATGAAGAGGCTACCAGTGATTACAGTCCATTGATGGCGAACTTCCTCTCCCAACAGACACAGTTCAGCAAAGGACATTTAGTTGGAGGTTTTGCAAAAACACTAGAAGCAGCTATAGAAGAACAGAGGTCCAGGAGCTACAAAGAGCCCCAAATATATTGCTCTCTACAAGTCTCACAAGGCAGCTACTTGGCAGTTTCCCCAGACATATTGATATTTATAGGGGGATAAAAGTGCTCATCTGAGGAGAGGAAGAGGCACAGAGGGCATTTGCATCACGTTTTCATTCCCCTAACTCTGCCCTCCCAGAGTCAGAGGGGCTTGAAAAACTGTCAAGAGAAACCACTCAAAATGCAACCAAGAACCCCAGATGAGTCCAAAGGACCCGCCGGTGAGCTACTAAAAAGCCCTGTCTGTCCAAACAAGACCCTTGGAGCACGGAGGAGATAACCCACCACACTGCTTTAAAGCCAGTGCCGAAATTCAACCAGTGTCTGGTACAGCTGGAAATACGGCAGGCATAGAAAAAGTGATTTAATGTGCCTATCAAAGAGGGAGGCTGTAATTGGATTCAGTCCTCGGTTTAACTTCTGAACTGTCCCCGAAGAAAACTCCCATCAGCTTTTAAAAATCTCCAATGTTTTCTGCGGAACAAAGAGGACTAAGTTATGAAAACACAGCCGCCTGCACCGAGCTGTGATCTCAAGTCTGCCAGCAGTGAGCCGACGTTAGCAGAGCTCGAGTGAAACCACATCGATTTGCAAATTAAAACCAGCACTGACGGGTGCTATTTCTCACGTATTATTTTTACCTATAGGTAAAAGCACATAAAAACTACAGGACTTTTCTTGCTAAGTTTATGATTGGCAAGTTAGTGATAAGCAAATGTCTCACATCTTCACAGCCTATCAAGAAGAGAAGTCCTGAAGCTGGGAACATTTTCCAAATGACCAATTAAGTATTTAGTGGCTTCGGCAGTGGAATTTCACTGTGTGGAATTTCATCCCTGCAGAAATGATCCGGCTGCAAAAGCAGCTCTGCAGCAGGTACCCGGCTTCCCCTGCAGTCCTTGCACTGCTCAGCAGCAGAGAAACCCACTTCATATGCACAAACCTGGCATCAAGCTACAGGTTGCCCACATGTCATGGGCAAAGAAGGCAATTAAATAATTATGTTTATAAATATATAATATATTTTGGTTTAAATGTATTTTTTTGGTTTAAACACGCCATCTATCCGCTATTGGGGTTACTGCACCAGCCCTCAGCCAGCTCCTGCCTCACGAAGCCAAGAGGCCAAGGGATATGTGAGCGGGAAGTGCCTCATTCGGCCGGGTGCACTGCCAAGGCAGCACGAGCAGAGCGGGCAGCGTGCGCCCCAGCGCCCGCACCCAGGGCCCTGCTCTGGGAGGCAACTGAGGGAGGGGAGAGATGGGGACAGGCATTCTGTAATGAGTAATTTAATTAAAAAAAAAGAGAGAGGTGCAAGGGCCTCTGAAATCCCAATGTCGTTTAACAAGCCACACCACTGCTCTGGGTGCCTCATTTAAAGCATCGGTGCCATGGGATCTGGACGGCCCCTGTGCTGCCCCTCCGGCTCAGTGTGGGCTTCGTTTTACCCCAGGCAATATCATTGCTAACACGCTAGGAAGACTCCTTCCCCTTGCTGTGACACTGCTTTCCGCACTTGATGCCACTGCAGGAGAAATCTGCCTGCCACCACGGCCTGCTCGCTTAGAATACCTGAATTCTAAACCTCTCTGGTCATTTGGGACACAATAGCCTAGAACTGCTGTTCATGAGGCCACTGTGAAGATCTGCCCTGCCAGGACTGGGGGAAAAAAGCTACCAGGAATCCTGCAGGACAAGCAACATCCACTGGGACATTTTTAGGCGTGCTGTACCCATTCCCTCCCATCTACTGCCACTAACGCCAGTTATTCTTCTCCTCAAACTGTCTAGTTGAGTAGCATAATTAAATTACACTCCAAGCAATTGTGCCCAAAAGGTATTTAGTATAAAGCACTTCCAGGCTTGAAAGATCTCTTTCAGGTTGGCTGTTCCTCCTTCCTACAGACTTCTGACTGGGCTAAAAGTCCTCTCTCTCTCGTAACGGTTGAGAGGAGACAACCACAGTACAATAAAAGCACGCTCACGGCATCGGAGAGTTCAGCCCTAGCACTGTAATGTGCAGTGGGCAGAGCTGAGGAAGGAACACACCATTTTCCTTGCTAAAAAACACAATAATTAGGTCAGCAAGTGGCTGTACTTGCAGGGAGGAAAAAAAAAAAAAAAGCACCCACAGAAAAGGAGTTCCTCCTTGTTTAAATGTTTATTATTCAAAACATGCAGCGGGGGCTTAAAAACTGAGTTAAAAAGTAGTTAGGAAACGGTTAGAGCAGGGCTCAGGAGCCCAGTTCACGCCGGAGTTCACTGCAGGGCAAAGGCAGTTCCTGCCATTGCCCCGGGCCTGAGAGGGGCAGGGGGGGAAATCGCTCACGACGTCGCCCTTAACAACTCGTCTGGGATTCCGCCTGTTCTGCCTGCATTACCAGCTTCCAAAAAAAATCAATTCTTCGTAATAGCTTGTTTATAAAGCATGTCCTTAAAAGCACATGAAATTCAGACCCAGCCGCTTTCCCACTAACTCACTCTGCCATCTGTTATGGATCCAATAAAAAACACAAAGATACGACCGATATCCCCAAACTCACCAGAAACTGTGTGCAAATCGGATGCTATCCCCTTGTTCATCAACTCGTACTGGAAACCTGTAATCTTCCTGCTAATGTCCTGCTGAGGGGTAGCCTCAACAAACAGCCCCCCCTGGTCATAGCCAAAGCAATAGACTTTTCTGGGGCTGCGATCTCCATCTCGGACCAAGAGTTTCAGTTCTCCAGTTTTTTCCAAATAAATATTTGCTCCTGCAGAGTCCTTGAAGGGCTTTATGCAAACAGTCAAATGCTTGAACGAGGCAGGTGAAGTGTTGGGGCGCAGATTGACGATGAGTGCTCCCGTGGGATACATCCACTCGATGGACCCTTCTGAACAGCGGAGGTAGACCTGCTCCACGTCCTTCTTGTGCGACTCGTGAGTTAAACCACTGGGGAAAGAAAGAGAGGGAAGTCAGGGAAACAACAGAGCTAGTTAAGAGGTTGCCATAACCTCAGACCTTCAAAGGGCCACATCAGCAAACACAGAAAAATCTATGGCATTGCGAGTCCAGCGAGCTCAGCAGTGCTTGTTCTCTTGCAAGACTGTAACCTTAACAGTGTGGGACAATTCTAAATTGTCTCCCAAAAGAGAAAGTTAAACCACTAGTAATTGACTTCAAAAGTAAATAGGATATAAGCACATGATCAAAAGCAATGAAATTACTACAGCCTCAGCAGCTGTCCATCAGCTGAGCTGCGGCAGAGGACCTGGCGCATACTAAGCGAGACGCGGAGGGCTGACCTCCCGTCCTGGTGGCTGACAGCAGCACGTTCTCCAGCTTCGCGGACCTGACTCCACCTTTTCCCGAGTGCTTTGTTCCCCTTCCAAGTCTATATTCCCAGTGGCTCTTAAACAGGGAGGGAAGCCACGCTCAGTCTGTGGACCAGTGCAAAGGGACGCCCAACTTGGCAGCCCCGATCCCCAGAGAAGAAAGATGACATTGTCCTCTCCAGCCAGAGCTCATTGAATGTTACTCGTCTCCTTGGTGGATGTCCCATCTTCTCTCATCTCACCCCAATATGAGGTATAACTGAGCTAATGATTTCACTCCCCATCTTCGAGGGGTTACGAGCAGGCACACAGTGAAGAGCGGACACATGGCCAGTTACTATGGCACTGCCGCGACCACACAAGCCACCACCTCCCAGGGTCACCTTCAGTCCCGTGACCTCACTCACAAAAGCTGGCACCCTTGCAAAACATTAACACCTCGACAGCCATTTCAAGGACCAGTGACCACAGAGATGGGACAGGAGAGCAACACAGAGACGTCAAGGTCAACCGCTACCCTAATGGGAACAAACTGCTGTGCCCAGGACTGGTGAATTCCACAACTACCTTGCTCACGGCCTACAGTAAGGACAACTCTGAACAACACTTGCTACATGTCCCCAGTAGTGGCCCCAACCGCGTGGGTTCTTCCACCCAGAGCAAATTTAAAGTACTAATATGACCCTGCGCTCAAGTTAAAAGAAAGCATTGTGGGAAGCCTGGTTTATTGGTTTGGTGACTTAGACCATTAGTCAAAAATCTCTTGGTCTCATCACAAACCGCTTAGGGGAGTACAAGGAAATCACTTCCCCACCAAGGGGAGTTTGTTTCTCCTTATGGTACAGGCTCAGTGCACTTTGCTTCAAGCCATGAGCATCTCATCCTGTGCCTGTAGAGCAGCACCCAACTGGAGACCATCTACCCAGCTCCTGGGTCTGCTCTGCACACTCCGGACAAGTGCCACAGAATTCCCATTACACACAGAGGAACCAAGGCAAGGGAGAAAAAAACCTAAAATGGATTAAGCGACTTGTCTAAGGTTACACAGGAAATCTGTGGTAAATAAAGAACATATTTTAGTCCAGTGCAAGTAGTGACATCAAGCTCTAGTTTCTCAGCAGAAACCTCCAAACATGCAATTCCCCACCTCAAAGATACATTCAGGTGCTGAACAGGTTTTAAATCCAAGTCAGCATTTAGAAAGTAACAAGAAGCCATGTAGAAGGAGGAAAAAAATATCCAAACCAACATATGGTTTGCATTTACTGCTGACGTGACTCATTATTCTGAGTGTCAGGGTGACCCACTTGATAGAGGTTACACGAGGAAGCTCAGGGAGAAAAAAAAAAGTCATATTTAATAATAATTGTGCCTGCAAACATGTGCTTTTGAATAATCTTGAAAGCCACATCAAGAGCCCAGATGAGGAGAAAAGTAGGACAAGTCTTTGACCTCTAGTCTTTTGCCCTCAAATTCAGTAGTGCTTGACACGTCCAGGAAACTCAACTTGCAGCAGGATAGTTCAAGTTGACTGTAAAGCTACATCTGGTCCCCAAAGGCGGCCGTGAATAAGCAGCACTGCAGAGTGCAGGGGCCAAGGCAGCCCGCGCGCGGCCCCCGTGCCGCCCCACAGGACACCAGGCAGCTGGGGCTTCCTCCGGCCGCTGGCACCCGGCAGCCCCGGCACTTGACAGAAGGGAGAGACCAGGGGCAGAAGTCCCCGCTCCCACAGCGGCTCATACTTGTTTTGTTCAGAGCTCGTGCTGCTCAAGCAAAAAACAGGGCGGACTCCAAAATTACCTTCTGCAGCCCATTAAATCCCACAGGTGCAGGGTGATGCCATCAGACAGATGCATGGAGCACCCGTACCTGTGCACATTAAGCCTTTTAATGACAGGTGACTCAGATGCTAAGCAGATTTCCAAACGCGCCGGCGTTACTCAAGAGCCACCACCTTCGTGCAGCAGGACCTGTCACTTCGCTCTCCGTCAAAATGACACCTGTCACTGTGGTGAAAAGCGGTTCAACGTTGTGCTTAATTCTCCCTAGCCAGTCATACGACACACCACGGCCACAGAGCAAGGGAGGACAAGGAGCCGTTCTTTTTGTTTTTGCAAGCTCACCCAAGGATTTGGGTTTTCTTTTTAATATATGGCAAAAAGAGCGGACAATTTATGGTTACAGTGATGGATGAGCCATCTTTCTGCCCCTCAGATCTCTGTTTATTGGGACTTGCATCTCGAACGTGCTTCCTCACAGCGATCCCGGGAACACCCCGAGCCACGGCAGCGGGCTCTCGCTGTCCTCCCTTTCGGGTTTCACCAGCAATGCCTCCTCGGCAGTGCCGGTGCTCTGCTCGCAAAGGAAGCTGCTGTGCTGCAAGGTGCAACAGGAGTCATGCAAAGAGGAAAAAGGTGATGCAGGGGGTGTCGGGAGGAACATTCTCCTCTACTTCAGCTCTTATTCCAGACGCTCTCAAAAGCCCTAGAAACTCCCATCTCTCACCAGGTCCTCAGTGAACTTCATCTCCTAGCTGGAGGGGGGATCTACTTAAGGATGACTATCTAGAGAGCGACAGCACTGTCCTGGCTAAACTAGTGCTGCAGAGGGCAAGAACCACAGCAGAGCAAAACTGTCCCCTGCTACTCTCACAGCAACTTTTCAGGAGACAAGGAGAAAATGGAGAAGGAAAGGAGCGTTTTCTCCTGGTTACAGCCAAGCAAGCAGATGGACAACACCATCCATGGAAGATCACAGTCAGCCCAGAGCAGACCCCAAGGAGAAGCCAGGGGCTCTTGCGCCTACAGCCAATAGCAAAAAGGCAAGACAGCCTCTTGCAGAAGACCTCGTGCTCAAAGCATCGAGCGGCCACTGCACTGCAAAATGCTGAAACTGCAGCAAGAGCAATAGCCAGACAGGTGCCACAGTGAAGTTTCTGCTTTCTTCTGGACATGCTTTTCTGGATGTTCTCTCTCAAGCTATTTACTAAGTGCTGCTCTAGCCTAGCGCATGCTCCGCTGCAGGTGTCAAGCTGGGCACTGCATCAGCTTTTCCAGCGATGCTCATAGGGCTCCTAACGAGGCTCTTCATACCAGCACGGGATGGGAACTGGGCATTTCTCCACAAGCTAATGGGGACAAAAAGCTTTATAACCAGAACATTTTACTTTTAAGATCATCGCTTTTACATAGATATGTGTATGAAGGTGAGAAAGCACCTTCAGGCTTTCTATAGGAGATGCTAGACTCACAAATCTGCCTGCACCTGCAACTTGGAACTTTTCTGTGGCGGGGGAAAGTATTAAATCTTGGCATCTAAGTTCAGAGACTTTTCAAGCAGTTAAGATTAAAAAAAAAATAACCCACACACAAAAACAACATATGACTTAAAGTATTTTTATGTAAAACGAAGTTTTTCTGACCCAAATAGCCATTTAAACTGCACTAATTAGATGTTATTTGTTGGTTCATAGAAGTACTGTTTCTGATTTGTCTTTTAAAAAAAAAATCATTTTTTAACACGAAGTAGACAAGATTTAATGGCCTTAGGACTTTGTGGTGGCCCCCGTTTGCCACCAGCAAGGCCAGAGCTGGGCAGCTTTGCTCCCTCCTCTCCCTGCTGAAAAGCCGCCCGGTCGGAGCCGCGTGCGGCACCGTCAGCGCGTCCGCCCGGCGCCTGCAGCAGCATCGTCCCAAGCTGCCATCATCACCGCGCTCCGGAGCATGGGGCAAGGCTGGGGACATTACGGCAGGTCCCCATCCAGGCTGCAGCTCTCATGGGCACAGGAGGGTTGGTGAAGCGGCACAGCACAGCGAGGAGGTTGTTCCAGAGCTAACAGGCTCTGTTCACGGTCCATAGGGAACATATTCACCTCCAAGAGGAGCTGTGGGGATCAACTGTGCGGGAATTGTTCAAGAGCCACCAAAAAAAGTTCAGGGGGAAAAAAAAAAAATAGGCAAATACCAAGCATCTGCGCTGAAGCGCTGTCACACATAGGAAATTATTGCGCTGAAAGCTAGCCCAGCTGTTTCTCCACTAAGAATTTTCCCTACTCCAAAGCGTCCTGCTGCTCCAAGTGAGTCTAACTTCTACGTTAAAGAAACCCAGATCTGGCCAGAACGCGAGGCAGAAACGCTGGATGATTTCAGGGCCCGCTGGAAGCCCCATCCACGGCGGCTCCTCCGAGCGCGGAGCAGCAGAGCAGGTCCCGAAGCCATCCGCACACGCTGCGCGTACTGCGAGCAATTAAAGGAGAGATAATTTGGGAGATAAAACGCTCGGGACCTGCGCAGGTTTCGCAATGAGGCTGAACCGGGAGCGGA